AAATGGAAAAGAGATTGCAGTGTGGCCATCCACCCTGGGAGAAGTGATTTTTTTACTTTCCCTCTATGTCTGTCTCTCTCTCTAGTGAGCACATGCATCGTATAACAAAAACACTCTTTAAAAAAAAAGGCTATTTACTGTTAGGAAGGCAAAGAATTTCTAAACCAAGGATGAGTGTGATATTTGTGAAGATTTGAATGGGAATGAATAAAGTGTATATATTTTTTGAAATCTATTATAAGGATTATTTATAAGGAATTATAAGTAAACCTTAAGGCCCTATACATATGAACAAATTAAAATACAACGTTGTCCTGACCCGGGGGACAGTTGAACAGGTTTCCTGAGGGAAGGAGTGAGAGACGGGACAAACGAGGCAGTGTTACAACACAGAGAGGACGCAGTGTTACAACTCTTCAGGGTCGTCCATTTATTGCGGGCAGCACGGAGACAACACAGTGTTACACCTCTCAGGGTTGTCCGGAGACGACGCAGTGTCACAGTTCTTCAGGGTCGTCCGGAGACGATGCGGTGTCATAGCTCTTCAGGGTCGTCCGGAGGCGACGTAGTGTCACAGCTCTTCAGGGTCGTCTGGAGATGACACAGTGGCACAACTCTTCAGGGTCTTCAGGTTCATCTGTTTATTGTGGGCCAGGGATTGTGGTTATATACATGTTGGTGGGCAGTGATTGGTTGAATGAAGGATTGTAAAAGGTGGGTTATGATTGGTTGCTTTTGTAGACCAATCACAAGGTGCCAGATGTGCAAATCTGAGGGATTCTAAGCTCAATGATTTGCTATGGGAAGTGGCCAATCAGAGTATGGTTTTGAAGGTGAGGTTTTGAAGGGGAGTCAATCATGGCCTTTGGCATTGTGTAATTGTTTGCTTTCTGAGAAACCAGCTATATTCGCTGGTGCACAGCCTCCCACACTACGTGAACTTTCTTGATGCTATGTGAACATATTTATTTCATTAATTAAAATGTGGTCAGATATTTTTTTCCCCTTTATGACAGAAAGGGCAAGAGAAGGAGTATTTTTGACAGTATTTTGCCAAGTCATTGATCCATCTACCCCACTCTCCCAGTTAGCTAGGATTACAGGCAGGCACAATTACACTTCGCAGTTGAGGTGAGTCTGGGAACCATACCCAGCCACCAATGCGGCTTCTAGCTTCCTACGCAGTGGTGCTACTTGTGCACCATGGCTGGGTGTGGTCAGGTTTGTGCATGTGTGTGCTAAAAATATACTCGATTGAGGCCAGCAGGTGTGGTGAAGGTGCTGGACTCACATGGCCTACCATGGTTCCAGTTCCAGACCTGGTGGGTTGCTTTCACTCGCTTCTCTGGTGAGCATACAAGCTCTATTGCAAATGTAAAAGTAATAATAAATAAAATTAAATGAGTACTTCTTTTTAAAAAAATCTTAAAAAGAATATACTATTGATATTTAACTACCAGGATTACCTATGTGGTATTAGTCACTAGCTTTTATTATGTGGTATTAGTCACTAGCTTTCTTTACACACTATGCCTAAACTCTATTGGAAATCTGTGCATTTTAATAATTTAAAGCCTATTGTACCCTAGAAGTCTTCTGATAAGAACCCAAGGACCGGGACCAGTAGAAGCATAGCAGGTATGTTGCTGGACTCCCACATGACTAACTGCGGTTCAAGTCCCAGATCTGGCAGCTTCATACTCATGCCAGTGTGTGTTCTGTGCATGCCTAAGATCCCAGGAGAACAGAGAACAGAAGAGAAGGGACTGTGGTGTGACCATCCCCCCTGGGGGGTGATTTCCCATCATTTCTCTGGCAATCACACATGTCCTATAGTGAAAATCTCTCAAAAACAAAACAAAACAAACAAAAAATCAAACAAACCCTAAGGACCAATACAAAGATATAATCCTTTAAAGCATTGTATTATTGATTTTTAAAGGTCACAATTAGGAATACCTTCCCTCTCAGGGCAAGATCCTGCTTAAGGTTTATTTTATTTGCATATGTGAGAGGCACCCTTGACAGGGCCTCAACACACCAGGATCCTCTTCCCCCAGCCCTTCTGCTCTTCCAGGGTCTTGAGCACGTGTGTTGTGTTTTCAGGATGACTTGCTATCTCAATTCTTGGCTATGTGGCTTCCAGCACTGCAGTTTAGTGCAGTGGTGTGGTGGTTATGGTGGCTGGATCTCACATGATCTACTGCATGGCTAGAATCCCAGACCTGGAGGCTTGAAAATACTCCAGTTATATGTGCGTGTGTACCCCAATTCCTAAGAGAATGGAGAAGGGACTGTGGTGTGGCCATCCCTCCCCAAGGGGTGATTTCTCACTCCACCTGCCCCATCTCTTCCCTACAAGTGCATGTAACCTATAGCAAAATAAAAACAAAACAAAATTTAGAATAACTTTAGCATAACTTGCTTAAAAACAAAAACAAAAACCCACAACCATGCCCTCTGCTCCGAGTAAGAAAAGCCTTTATGCAGCAGAGGGGTCTCAGGTATGAGGTAGGGGATTTTTAGTGTCAGGCTCATTTGAATTCTCTCATAGGTAGGAACTTCTGTGCATTTTCTTGGCTGTTTTTCTATTTATGATCCAACTGATACTGAGAAACACATTATTTTAAGCCAAGAGAACCTGTTAAGCCAAGTAAAACTTAAAGATCTAACATGCTCTTCGAACAGTGATTTCAAATAAAGAGAAAAAAGTAATGAGAAAATTGCAAAAAGTAGCATAAGCATGCCAAACTCCAAAGAACTCGAACAGCAGGCAGCACTGTATTAATAAAAGGAAATGTACCATAATCACTAGCTTACAAGGTATATTTTTACTTTAAAAGATCTGAAAATTATCTGGTAATTTAAATTTGTCCTGTAGAAAATTTAAATATGTCTATATTAGAGATAAAAGGTCATTGATAGAGGGGTAGCATCTGAAGTCCTAGGTGAGCAACTATTTCACACAAAGCACAAATAGTTACCTAAACCCTAGTGGCAAAGTGTGGGGAAAAACTACCATAGCAAAATTTCACATCAAATCTATTAGTTACTTTACGAAAATAACAAGCCACAGGCTATGCAACTGATCTAGAGGTCAAGTTTAATTAACCCCCAAGCAGCTGAGATATAATCATTCCTGTAACTCATTGCTCAAAGCAAAGAATGCATAAGGTGCAAACTTAATGTAATTAAGGTTCAGAATACGGTAATTAGAATTTGAAAAATTTTCAAAACAATGACTTTTTTATTAATTTTTTTAGTTTTGCTATTGGGCACATGCAACTTGCCAGAGAGAGGCAGAAAAGAAAAAGGGAAAGTGAGAAATCACCCTCTGTGGGGGGGCGTTGCTTACAATGCAATCTTTTTTTCTCCATTCTCTTGGGATTTTGGGCATGAACACACCCACATTTGGTGTTTTTCAAGCCACTAGTTCCAGGACTTGAAGCATGCAGTAAGCCATGTGGGATTCCACTGCCTTTAACCTCCATGCAACCTGCTGGTCCCACCATATGTTTATTTTAAATGCTTTGTACTATTTTTGACTGAAGTATTTGCTTGTATGTTTAACCTACTAGGGCTATCTATAAAAGAAATTCAAATTTGGGAATCTTATCATGGTCTTCTTATTATCTTTTAAGAATTATTTATTTGATCTGTTATTATTATTATTATTTTAATCTGACCAGAAGAGAGAGAGGGAAAGTGAAACAGCAAGCCACCAGTTCTGGAACTTGAACCACGGATGGCCATGTGGGAGTCCAGCACCTTAACCACTACACCACCAGCAGGCCCCTTATTTTTAATGTGTAATAGTGCAGCCCAATATTTGCACTTCGTTTCCCATTATGAAGTCTATACATGAGCTATTATCACAGTATATCAATTTCTTCAGGTAGATTTTTGTAATGTAAGAAACATAACAAAATTGGCTTTTTATAAAAACAATCAAGGACTGCCAGTAAGGCTTCAAAAATAGATATAAGAAATGTAAGTTATATACAAAACATGATATACTGTGAACTATAACCAAGTTTTAAATTTTAATTTCATTAGCAGAGCTAAGATATTCCATGGCAAAATTATCTTAATTATTCTAAGTTAAACAAAAATGCTTAATATTCATGGTAAAGTTACCCTTCCATTTCCCCATTAAACGTCTATTTCCAGGCTTTTCTGTCTACCTTTTTATGAGATACACTGATCATTTTAAATCATAAAGAAAGTTAACAACCCTTTAACTTATAACCACTTTAAAGTTTATTTTACAGCATTTTAATTGAGACATCATGTAACTATTGACCAGGACCGTTTACAAATGTAATGCTTGGCCTTTGAGATAATTAAAAACCTTTAAGTACTAAAATTTTACATCATGATTTGTTTAACTTAGGAAGTATTATGATAGTGCAAACTAATAGGAGAAAATCTAAAGTGAAAATATAATGATTTCCACAAAAACCATATATTCCTCCCTTATATCAAAAGGAGGGAGGAAAGGAGGAAAAAAGAAGAGGAGGAAGAAAAGATAAGAAGAAAAAGAGAGTCAAGACAGGCATGAAAAATATTTTTTTCCCCATTTGCAAAAAGGAGGGAAACTCTGAGGTCTCAGCAAATAATGTAATCAACTGAGTCAGTTTATATTAAGGCATCTTCTTTACATATTATTGAATCCCATCATGCCTTTCATATTGCCAGCAGCACCCTGTTGAAACTGCCTCATCATTGACTGAAGTCAAATAGATATAAGAAATGTAAGTTATATACAAAACATGATATACTGTGAACTATAACCAAGTTTTAAATTTTAATTTCATTAGCAGAGCTAAGATATTCCATGGCAAAATTATCTTAATTATTCTAAGTTAAACAAAAATGCTTAATATTCATGGTAAAGTTACCCTTCCATTTCCCCATTAAACGTCTATTTCCAGGCTTTTCTGTCTACCTTTTTATGAGATACACTGATCATTTTAAATCATAAAGAAAGTTAACAACCCTTTAACTTATAACCACTTTAAAGTTTATTTTACAGCATTTTAATTGAGACATCATGTAACTATTGACCAGGACCGTTTACAAATGTAATGCTTGGCCTTTGAGATAATTAAAAACCTTTAAGTACTAAAATTTTACATCATGATTTGTTTAACTTAGGAAGTATTATGATAGTGCAAACTAATAGGAGAAAATCTAAAGTGAAAATATAATGATTTCCACAAAAACCATATATTCCTCCCTTATATCAAAAGGAGGGAGGAAAGGAGGAAAAAAGAAGAGGAGGAAGAAAAGATAAGAAGAAAAAGAGAGTCAAGACAGGCATGAAAAATATTTTTTTCCCCATTTGCAAAAAGGAGGGAAACTCTGAGGTCTCAGCAAATAATGTAATCAACTGAGTCAGTTTATATTAAGGCATCTTCTTTACATATTATTGAATCCCATCATGCCTTTCATATTGCCAGCAGCACCCTGTTGAAACTGCCTCATCATTGACTGAAGTCCTGCCATACCACCTACAGCAAAAGTAGAGTAAAAACAAATAATTAATAAGTTGAACTTAACACATTTATTACTTTTGCCTAACAAGATTTTAACTTCTACAAAATACTGAGTTCTAATTGCAATTTTGTCATCAGCCTTAAAGAAAATACTGATTAAAAAATTGCATTGTTACCAGCATCTTCACCTATAAAACAGGACAAATAACCTTCTACATTGAGTTAATGTAAAAAAAAATACACGAAAATATCTTGTCACATTTGACCTGTCACACTTGATCTAATGAAAATGTTTTTTCTGGAAAGTCCAAGACTGTCTTGCTGTAAATACTATTATGTTACATAAAAAGTAACTAATGGCGGATTATTTCATAGGATTTAAAGAAAATAATAAGCATTTATTGAACATGTACTATATGCCCACAACTACACTATATGCTTCCACACGTATTAGCTCATTTAACTGTCATAATTTCCTGATGAGATTACCACCTGAGATTTTACCAAAGGGGAAAATGAGGTTATGAAAATTTAAGGGATTTTTCAAAGGTCACATGGTAAAATCAGAACTGGGGTGCAAAATCCTTATGTAATTTGAAGGTACCATCATTAAAAATATCCAGGTTCTAAAACAGGGCAAAAAGTCACTAGAACAAACATTAGGAAAATATAATCAAATGGCTTGGGCAAAAATCACACAAGTGATAGCAGAGAGATGAATAAAACTTACATAGTGTTATTATAACTGTTCAATTTAGGATTCAGATAGCTATTTCCCTCAAATCACATATCTTACTAACAGATTTTCAGAACATCAGAATAGAAAGCTTACCATTAAAACTGAACCTTTATAAACTGTGTATTACCAACTGAAAATAACTTTGTATTTACCCATGTGATGAAGAACTCTTGGGTCCATCATTTTAGCCATCTGTTGATTCAATTTTGCCATCTGAGACTGGCTCACATTCTTAGACATGTCACCCCCTGACAAAAAAAAAAGATTTTAAGTCAGTATAGGACATAATAATAATCATACTACCTTAAAAAGTTTGATGAGTTGAGTAAATACAAAGAAAACACCACTTATAATCTTATCGCTCGAACAAGTATTTCTATTTCTACATATTCTCTTATCTTTACCTCAGCACTTTTTTTTATTTGAAGAACAGGTGAAATTCTATATAAAGGGACATTTAAAGGTCTGTCTTTCTTTTTTTTTAGGAGAGATTTTTGCAACAGGGCATGTATACTTGCCAGAAAGACAGAGAGACAGAACCCAAGAAATCAACCCCCAGGAGGATGGCCACGCCACAATCCCTTCTCCTCTTGGGATTTTGGGCATGCATGCACAAGCGCCCACCATGAATTTTAAGCCATCAGGTCAGGGACTCAAACCATTATCAACTACATGGGAGTCCAACGACGTAACCATTACTCTATCTGCTATTCCTTTAAAAGTCTTTCTTAGGACTATAATTTTTTCTAATACTTTTAGTTCAATCTGTGACTGAGCTACTAAAAGCAAACTTTACTCAACAGTTATTAAAAGTATGTTATAACAATAATTGCTTCATAGTATAATAGAGGAAGGTCGAACAAAAAATAGAAACATGGGTTAGTTGAGAAAGAGATTAAATGGTTGGTAAATTAATATAAAAGAATGAGTCTGTAAAAACCTGAAGATCAGTATATACCTAAGAAGTTTCCAGAAAAATAACACAGAGCCAGCCCCACAGTACAGCAGTTAAGAGCTGTGCATGGAAAGCTGGCTCCCACATGGCTAACTGCTGATCAAATCCCAGCCCAGAAGCTTGAAGGGCATGTCAGTGCATATGTGTGCATACTCAAAATCCTAACAAGATAAAGAAATGGAGGGAAAAAAACTGTGGAGTGACCATGCCCCACTGAGGGGTGCTTTCTCTCTTGTGAGAGCACACACTCTCTCCATCCAATAGGATGGAGAAACAGAGAAGAGACTTCAGTGTGACCACATCCTGGGGGTTAGGGGGTGCTTCCTCTGTCTGTGTCTGGTGAGCACATGAGACCTCTCACAAGAAAAAGTATTGAGGAAAAAAAAAAGCCAGCCCACAATCTGCTGATTAAGGGGGCTAGATACCACATGGTCCACTAAGCGGTCCAAGTCTTGGCGTGGGTGGTTTGAAAACACACTAGGCCTACGTGTGTATATCGAAACTCCCAAATAGAGGGAGAAATGGAGAAGGGAATGTAGAGTGATTATTCCCCATAGAGGATGCTTTAACCTTCTTTCTCTCTCTCTTGCTAACAAGTACACATGCCCTCTGGCAAAAAAAAAGGGGGGGGGCAGTAGATGGCAAAAAAAGGGGGGGGGGGGCAGTAGATGGCATAATGGTTAAGTCATTGGATTCCCACATAGCTGACCACGGTTTGAGTCCCAGACCAGACAACTTAAGCTCATGCCAGGCATGTGTGCCTGTGTGCCCAACCCTCCTGGGGAGTGATTTCTTGCTCTGTCTCTCTCTCTCTTTCTGGTAAGCGTAAGCACCCTATAGCAAAAAAAACCTCTCTCAAAAATTTTTTTTCTGGGGACCAGCAGTTCATGTAATGGCTATGTCACTGGATTCCCATGTAGTCGACTGTGGTTTGAGTCCCAGATCTGGCAGCTTAACTCATGCCATGTGCGTGCGTGCCCAAGATCTCGAGAGGAAAATGGAGGAGGAGAAGGCATAGCGGCATGGCCACCCCCACCCCGGGGGGTGATTTCTCGCTTTCTGTCTCTCTGGCGAGCGCATGCGCCCTATAGCAAAAAAAAACTCTTAAAAAAATCCTACCAGGGATATATGCACGGGTGCCCAAAGTCCCAAGAGAAAAATGGAGAAGGGGCTATAGCATGGCCATCCCCCCGGGGGGGGTGATTTCCCACTTTGCTTCTCTCTCTCTGCTCAGTACATGCACTCAACAGCAAAAAACAAACAACAACAAAAGAAAAACTAAAAACAAATATTTGCAAATATAACCAGAGATTTTTAAAAGAGTTTTTACAAAGTGCTAAGGAGAAAAAAATAGAATAACTATTCTAGAAACATGAAGAGGGGGTCGGTCACAAAGGAAATTCAAACCAGTAAATGTACAAAGAAATGTTAAAATGAAGTAGTAATCTAAAAACTAGATACTGAATAATATCTAACCATTAACTTAGAAATAATATTATGTCAAAATTTACTCAGTAGCTACTGTGTTTCTCATAACAGAGAAAATTGGGGGCTGCATGGCAGTGCAGTGATGAAACATGATGCTCTGTGAGGCTATTCCACTTGGGCAAGTTCCCGGTTTAAGTCCAGAAACCTCCCTGAGTATGCCCAACATGCATGTGCCCATGATCTGATGCTGGCTGTGGGCTGGGAATGGAATGCAGTGTCAAAGACCCTGTTGGGAGTTCTGTCTGTCTCTGTCATTCATGGAAGAAATAAGTGCATAGAGTTTATCTTATTTACTTTTTTTTTTTTTTTTGTCACGGGGCATCAGACAGTAAGAGGGAAAGTGAGAAATCACCCTCCAGCAGGGATGTCCACACCACAATCCCTCCTCCTACACCCTCCTCTTGGGATTTTGGGCAAGCCACCAGGTCTGGGACTTGAACTGCAGTGGGCTAGTTTTGAGTCCAGCACCTTACCCAACATGCCACCTACTAGCCCCAATGGATAGACTTTAAAAAGGAAAAAGTATCTTAACAGAAGTGGATCAATTGGTGCAACTGTTCAACAAAGATGCATTACATTAAACAAAGATACATACATAACTAAAATAGTAACAGTCAGTGGTTAAAAATAATATTTAGAAGAATATTTGGCATATGTAATAAGTTATAATATATCAGAAGAAAGCAGTAATTTTATCAGCTTTTATTTGCAATAGTATGCATCAGATTCTCTAGAGAAAAAAGGTAATGTGTGTGATAAATTTTTTTCTTATACCTTCTTACATTTTCTAAATTTTCTTTAATGTGTATTTGATGTTTATAAAAATAAAACCATTGTGCTTTTGAAAATATCAGTGTTTAAAAATATATTAACATTTATTACCTTAAATTTGAAAACAGTTAGATCTCACATCATATTATAAATTCTGGCTATACTTGAATATAACCTGATATTCAGTGATATATTTTTTAATACTGGCGATATTCCCTGACCTTAATATTCAGTTCCCTCTAAATATTCAGTTCCTTCTTTCTATTCAGTCTGTTAATTAATGATGAGCTTATTTTTCTTACCTTTGAAAAGTCCTTTGATACCTCCCATCTTTTTTACCATCTGTGCAAACTTGGTATATTGCGTCAAAAGTTCTTGAACATCTCTAGTTGACACACCTGATCCTCTTGCTACTCTCTGGATTCTTCCTGGCTGCTTACTAAAAACCTTGGCTCCATCTGTACTGTCCAGTTCTGTAGGCAAGAGTCAATTACTTTCATTTAAATGTAATTATCATTCATTATCAAAAGTTATATGCAATTGGGCAATATATAACTTCTATGCATAGAGCTTAGCAGATTTTTCTGTTTTAAGTTTTTGCTATAGGGAGCGCGCGCGCGAGAGTAATCACTTCCTAGGGTGGATGCCATGTCATAATCCCTTCTCCTCCATTCTCCTCTCAGGATTTTGGGCATGCACACACATGCACCTTGTGTGTTTTACAAGTGGCTGGATCCGACCTGAACCATGCAACTAGACATGTAGGATCCAGTAGCCTAAACCACACGAAGTCCTGGTTGGCCCTTGTTTTTTAAGTTGACTAACTGATTTATTTCAGAGCAGAGGAGGACAAACAGGTATCCCCAACAGGGGGTATAGCAACCCACCCCAAGTCTTAGCCAGCCAGGATCATGGGCATATACAGGGAGACCTGAGGACCCAATCACATCTCTCATATGGCCTCGACGTCATGGAGCATTGTGTTAGCACTGCACCACCATGACTGGCTACCATGTTATTTTTCAGGTTTCTGCCATAGGACGTGTGTGCTCGCCAGAGGGAGACAGAGAGAAGGAAAGTGAGAAACCCTGCCAGGAAGATGGCAATGCCTCAATCCTCCTTCCTCCATTCTCCTCCTGGGATTTTGGGCTCACATGCACACAAATCTGGCATTATTTTCAAGGCTCCATGTTCAAGACTTGAACTTCAACCATGTGGGAGTCCAGTGCCTTAACCACAACGCCACCTGCTGGCCTCCACATGTACTTTTTTTTAAGCAGTTTTTGCCTTGGGGTGCATGCATTCATCAAAGAGAGGAAAACATAGACAATGACAGGGAAAGTGAGAAATCACCCTCAGGGAGATGGCCACACTAAAATCCCTTCTCCCCATTCTCCTCTTGGAATCTGGGGCCCGCAAGCACATGTGCCCAATGTGAGTTTCAGGCCACCGGGTCCAGATTTGAACTGAGGTTGGCCATGTGGAATCCGGCAACATAACCACACGGAACTGAGCACAAATAAAAGCTCAGAGATTTAATAGTTAGCATAAGTTGGTAAGGAGAAGACTGCATAACAGAATTTATATGCTTGGCTTAGAAGTTTGAAATCCATCATGAAGGTAATAAAGAGCGAATGGAAGATTTTAGAATTTGACTCCTGAAAGACCATTCTGATAGCAGTAAGGAAGACAGACTGAAAGACGAACAGAGAAAGCGAAATATTGGAAGACTACTGTAGCTATTCAGGTAACAAATGAGAGTATAAACTAATGAAGGGCATACAAACACAAAAAGAGGGAAGAAATGAAAAATATTTAGGAAGTAAAATTCTCTCAACCTAAGTTGATGTTCGATTTCTACATTCCACTTGAAGTAGAATGAAGAGAGTAAGAGTAGATTATGATTGTCAGTCTTGCAGGTAAATTAGCCAAAGGTTGAGAGAATTCAATGCCAAGTTTTCTTTGCAAATAAAGTCATAGGTCCACTATTGCAAATGGTAGAGTTAAAAGGCCTATAAACAGGTGATAAATGTTCTGCATACCTGCTGGGTAGAACATGAAAGGGTGCTAAAATACGGGAATAAAAGGCAAGGGCACTACCGAAATGGCAATGACTGCATATAAATAACAAATCATAAAAAAAAAAATTTAAAGGCAAGGGCATCATGGGACTAGAAATGCGAATGGATTGAGAACTAAGTAAAAGACAAACAGGAGGTAGTGACAGTACAGGATTAGAGACAGGGGTCAGCAGGTGGCAGGGTGGTTCAGGTGCTGGACACTCCCACATGGCCGATCATGGTTCAAGTCCCGGACCTGGTGGCTTGCCTTCTCACTTTCCCTCTCTCTCTCTCTGTCTCTCTGGTCAAATTAAAATAAATGAATGAATAAAAAATAAAATTAAAAAAAAAAAGAGGACAGAATATTTCTGAGAAGACTAATACTTTGAGAGTGATAAAGCAAGACAAGTTTGTAAACGTTACTTAAGCTATCCTTTTAAAATATTTTATTTCACTTTAATAAAAAATATTTGACCAGAGAAGGACACACACACACAGAGAGAGAGAGAGCACGCAAGCTGTCAGGCCCAGGACTTGAACCACAGTTGGCCATGTGGGAGTCCAGCACTTTTAACCACCATGCCACCTGCCAGCCCCAGCTATCCCTTTTGTAAAGATTCCCAATGTAGACTAGCACATTAAAGCTTTGAAGAGAATCAATAAACAAGCTTATTTAAATTTTTAAATCTGATTATTTTCCCAAATTTTATTAAAGAGCTCCCCTTTTAAGTTATTCCTATCAACATAATGAAGGTACTCTTTCTTGGAACTCATTTGGAGAAGAATTACATATTTCTCTCAGTGATGCTCTCAAACCAAGACTTATAAACCTTTGAATAAAAACTTTCAAGTGACTACAAATCTACCTAAAGATAATCTTGCAGTCTGAATTTCCTCCGGTCTTGTCCACAAGAATATAGTGAAACACACTCAACTTGCTGATACTCAAACATCACTCTGGGTCCAGTAATCTGCCATCTTACCTTGATCGTTCATACTATCCATTATCGTCATTAACTTTTTTAGCCTTGCCATGGACTCCTGTTCATTTCCTTTACTCATAAAATCTGTTCCAAAACCAGGAATCATTCCCTAAAATAGATTTAAACATAAAATCAATATGGTTTAAGATCAATTGTTCACAATAGTCACATTTAACTACTGGCTTTCATACAGAAAGTAAGTCTTAAAATACCAATTTTCCCCCCAGATATTAAGAATGACTAAAGCAAATGCTTCTGCTCTTAAATGAAAAATAAAAGTATACAGAAAATTTTGATAATTACTGACCAAGATCTGACTGAAGGGGCCCATTTTCATGATATTTTGAAATTGTTCATACATGTCTCGCAATGTAAACTGACCTGAAATACAATATAAGTGATTCAAATATATTAGAGAACTTACATTTCCATTCAATAAAATTAATGTTTTCCTTAATTAAGGATTCATCTTGAAACATAATTATAAGATATCCAATCAATAAATATTCACTGAGTAGTTACTATGTGCAAGATAATAGGATGAATATTATAAAAAAATAAACAGACCCACAGATAGATCCCATCCTATTAGGTTGTCAGAAAATTCATGACATATTTTGCCTAGAAAAACAGAAGAAATACATCATGGCTTTTTTGACAACCCAACAGATAAGCTTACATTCTAGCAAAGATGTTGGACATACACATGTACACAGAAAACTTGAAGACATGACATACAGTCTATACCTACCAGGATCAACCAAATTTTAAAAATATGATAATACCAAAAGTTAAACAGGATGTGATGCAAGTAGAACACCTATATACTGCTAGTGACAATATGAAATGCAAAAATACTTTAGAAGATTATGTAGGGGACAGTATATGGCCTGGTGGTTAAGACAGCTGGATCCCACACGATTGATCACTTGGTTTCAGTCCAAGATTCATCGATTTGAAAAATGCAGGGCACACATGTGCATGTGACTAGAACCCCCCAAAAAGGAGGGATAAATGGAGGAGAAGGGATTACAGTGTGACCATGCCCCATGGGGGTGCTGTTTATCTCTGTCTTCCCACTGTCTCTCTGGTGAGTGTACACACCTTCTGGCAAAAATTTAAAAATAAAAATAAATTTAAATAAAATAGACAAACAGAAGACTAGGGCCAGCTGGTGAAGTGGATTAAGACAGCTGGATCCCAGACCACTGGCTTGAAAAACGAGCCAGACACATGCTCATGCCTGTCTAAAATCCTGAGAGAATGAAGGAGAAGGGATTGTGGTCTGGCCATTATCCCCCAAAGAATGCTTTTTCACACTGTTCCTCATCTCTTATAGTAAATTTATTATTTTTTTAAATAGAGATTTTTCTATAGGATATGCGTACTTGCTGGAGAGACAGAAAGAGACAGAAAGCAAGAAGTCATCCCCTAGGGGGAATAGCCATGCTGCAATCCCTTCTTCATTCTCCTCTCGGGATTTTGGGTGCACACAAGTGTCCAGTGTGAGTTTTAAGCCGCCAGGTCCAGGACTCAAACTGTGGTAGACTATGTGGGAGTCCAGCAATATAACCATTATGCCATCTGCTGGTCCCTCTTATAGCAAATTTTAAGAAAAAGAAATCAGAAAGATTATGTAGAGTTTCTTAAACAGCTTAACTGTCCAAGAACAAAAAAATATGGGCCAGTGGCATGGTGACTGGCCAGTGGCATGGTGACTAAGGTGGCTGGATCCCACGTGGCCAAATGCATAATTCAAATCCCAGACCTAGTGGCTTGAAAAAAAAAACATGCTAGGCCCACATGAGTGCATGACCATAATACTGAAAGGAGAATGGAGGGAAAGGGATTATGGAGTGGCCATCCCCCGTAGGGAGTGTTTTCTCACTTCCCTCTCTCTCCCTCTTTCTGTCTCTCTCTGGCAAATTCATGTGTCCTATAGCAAAATTTAAAAATAAAAAAGAAAGAAAAAGAAATTAAAGATGAACTACTACTCAGTAATAAAAAGAACAAACTACAGGGCTTGTCCTTTGGCCTAGTGGTTAAAGGAACTGATTTCACATAGCCAACTGTAGTTCAAATCCTGGAATCAGAGGCTTGAAAAATATACTGGGCACATGTGCATGAAATCCCAACAGGATGGAGAGATGGAAGAGGAACTACATCATGACCATATCCCTGTGTGCTTTCTCGCTCTGGCCCTCTCTCTGGTTGAGCACACACACTCCAGCAACTAGGGGAAAAAAAAAAAAAGAACTACAAATATTTATAACTATCTATAATTACGTGGAAGAATATCAAGCAAATTATGCTGAGGCCCACCAGCAGGCACAGGTGGAAACTGCTGCACAATGACTAGGGATGCACAGGGCTTAGGTTCAGTGCCTGGATTTGGTTACCCACTCAACCTAGACAGACCAGGTGCAGTCATGTCAGGAGTCAGAAAGCAAACAGATTAAGAAAATATTACCCAGCTCTGGGACCAGCAGTTAGCATAATGGCTATGTCACTGGACTCCCACGTAGTCGACCGTGGTTCAAGTCCTGGACCCGGTGGCTTAAACTCACGCCGGGCATGTGTGCGTATGTGCCCAAGATCCCGAGAGGAGAATGGAGGAGAAGGGATTGTGGCGTGGCCATCCCCCCTGGGGGGTGATTTCTCGCTTTCTGTCTCTCTGTCTGTCTCTGTCTGGCGAGCGTACACGCCTTATAGCAAAAACCTCTCCAAAAAAAAAAAAAGAAAGAAAATATTACCCAGCTCAATAGCTCAGGAGGATCACAATAAGACCCTTATAGAGAACCAGCAGTTGGCGTAATGGCTATGTCACTGGACTCCCACGTAGTCGACCATGGTTCGCGTCCCGGACCTGGTGGCTGAAAACTCACTCCGGGCTTGTGTGTGCACGCACCCAGGATCTTCAGAGAATGGAGGAGAAGGGATTGCAGCGTGACCATTCCCCCTGGGGGGTGATTTCTTGCTTTCTATCTCTATGTCTCTCTCTGTCTGGCGAGCGCACACACCCTGTAGCGAAAACCTCTCAAAAAAAAAAAAAAAAGGAAAAAAAAAATACCCTTATAAAAAATAATCAACAGGAGGAACCAGCAGTTAGCGTAATGGCTATGTCACTGGACTCCTGCGTAGTCAACCGCGGTTCGCGTCCCGGACCCGGTGGCTTAAAACTCACGCCGGGCGCGTGTGCGTGCGTGCCCAAGATCCCGAGAGGAGAATGGAGGAGAAGGGATTGCGGCGTGACCATCCCCCCTGGGGGGTGATTTCTCACTTTCTGTCTCTATGTCTCTCTCTGTCTGTCTGGCGAGCGCACATGCCCTATAGCAAAAACCTCTCCCCTCAAAAAAAAAATCAATAAGGCCCTATCTGACCTAGTCTGGTGATGCAGTCAGTGACAAACTGAACTCCAGTGCTGGAAGCCACATGACTGACCACAGGTTCAGATCCCTGGTGGGCATGTGTATGTGATCCTGATGAGCTAGATGACTGGGGAAAGGGGATCATGGGCATGTAAAACCCTGCTGAGAGTGATTCTGGTAAATAAAATAAAATACTTTCTCTCCCCCATCATGCACACTTGTGCCCTCATCAAAAAAAAAAAAAAAAATTATGTAGTTTTATTAAATGCTGTATCAAAGAAACTCAGGAATTAAAAAAAAAACTACAGGAATATAAAACTACATAGATGAATATAAAAATTATTATGCTGAATCAAAAAAACACACTAGAAAAAAAGGACATAACTCTAGCATTTCTGTAATATGAAGTATTACTCGGAAGGTGTGCAAGCAAACTTTATAGAGTAATGGAAAAGCTCTGTTTCTTGACAGGGTGTGGATTACAAAGCTTTTTTTTTTTTTTTTTTTGAGAGATTTTCACTGTAGGGCGCGTGCGCTCGCCAGGCAGACAGAGAGAGACATAGAGACAGAAAGCGAGAAATCACCCCCC